TTGAAAATTTTGAAAAACTATTAGGCAAAATTTGAAATTCTAAATTTGGTGTGGGGCAGCTGACAAATCCGCCCCCGGCTATCGATTGCCGTTACAGATTCAATATCAGTCTCAACCACCAGACTGGAACACACGCATACTTTTATTTACCCATAAGTAGGCCTTTTAAGCTTAGCCAAACATGATGCATCTCTACTAACTAAATTTTTTTACGAGTGTTTCTCTACCTTTGATCTTTTTCAGAAGCTATAAAATATCAGCATATAAAACATATTTGAATCAATTTCATACATCTTCACAACCAACATCCACGGTATTGAAGTACACAATCAACCGATTAAAGCAATGGTTCAACACCAAAAATAATTGATAAAACTCCACACTCTGTTATCGTTATTAACCCTAATGAACAATATTTCTACCCCGACTGACCAAAATTGGGTAACAAACCTTCAAGTTGCCGCGGCAGCGGCTTGGTGATAAATTAATAGTAAAAACCAAACGAGACGATTGAGAGAAAGCTGAGCAAAAATGGAAGGATCAGAATTGAGCCAATAGAGAAGTTGATCCATAAATTTCGTAGATTCGAGGATTTGTTGTCCACTTATTTTTAACGCGTTCGGTAAGACTTAACTCATAAGCACTTAAAAACAGTATCAAGTAATTCAAAAATAATTTACTTTTGAGTGCAATTAAACTTGCTCGAAACTATACAAACCATAGTAAGTGATTTTTCACCAAATTTTTATTCAATAACGAACTAAATGTTGAATAAGTCTTCCAGGTAACTTTATTTCTTAAAATTTTCTCTCGTTAAAGGCTTGAATTTGCATTGTGGTCTACTTCTAATCAAGGTCCAGAGCCACAATCAAGTGTTAATGGAACCAACAAAGTAGGATTGTCTTGGAGCAAAACAATAAAATAAACTAGATAGACCAATTTTATGTGATGAATGTTTCATCCTGAACCACAAGTATCGAACTATACCCAACAATTTAAATGCGACTTCATCATTGTATGTGTATGTTGAGTTTTTTATATTGTAAGTGTACGATATCGTAAGAAGGAATATAGTGGAATTTTGAGTCTAGATGATTGTTCCCACGAGTGCTATATTTTAATACTTAATTTAATATTTTTAACTCCTATTTAACGAAAAACAAAGAATTGTGATTGTTTTTCTAACTAATTGAAAATAGAAAGATCCACACACAGTTCGATTTAAAATTCAAATATGGAATAAGATATTATGACATAACAATTTCATGTATTGATTACCTTTAAATCTTAATTCAAGATTCACAAATCTAATGGATTATACGATCGAATTCTTCTATTGTATTCAATTTATCAAAATCTCGAGTTCTCATTGAACATATTTAACTAATTCCATCATATATTTCTATGTGAATCAATTTTAGTTACACGCAATATTAGTTCTAAGAATTCATATAACAACCGCAATAATTAATATAAGTATATCTACGTTTTATACTAAATTACTAGATTTTACTATATGGTCCAATTCTAAAACTCATTCTCAATTCATAAAAGATTTACAATATCATTAAATTGTTGATCAAGTAATTCAAATCATTAAATTAATGAATAAAATCAACACATATATGATGAACTAATTAAAATCTTGAATAAAAGAAATAAATGGTATTAAATAGATTACATTGTTCGCCATAATAAATGATTTAGCTACTCATAATATAAGAAGAAAAACAAGAGATTTTTTATTGAGTACTCATCAGGTTTGAATGAAAGATGTAGAAAAGGGGATGAATCTTGTACCAAAATCTTCTTCTTCTTCCATTCTATTCTTTAAACCCTTGATTTCTTGATATTTTTCTCCTTTAATTTGCTCTCCTAGATCTCAAGTTGTGTTCTCTGATTCTCAAAGAGTGGAACCATTTCCAAGTGCATCTCCTCTTGTATTTATACCTCTCCTAAGGCGTGTTCGAAGGAGATTAAAATCAGATTAAAATTGAAAAATTAGTCGTTATTATTGACTTTTATTAAATGAGTGAGACCCAATAACGACTATATTTTCAATTTTAATTGAATTTTAATCAATCTCAAACATGCTCCTAATTTTTTCCCTAGATTTGGGGTCTTTAGGGCTTTAAACGGGTAAAAAATTCGTGCCCTAGATGACAGCAAGCAGCGCTCAGAGCCGCGAAGGCATCATGGGTGGCTCTACGATGCCACTTTTTCGGTAAACTTTTAGGATTTGTGGCGCCTAGGCACCATGATGGTGGTGCTGCGGTGTTTCTGTTGAGAAAAATTTAGCACTACACATTAGGTAGTATTTTTATCACAACTTTTTTTTCCCGATATTCGATTGAGACAATTCAAATTGGGGCCCTGTCTGCCATAGATTTTCAGCAGATTAAAATTTATTTTTGAACCGTTGCAAACCACTTTTGTTGACTTAGGCTCTCACATGTGGGATCCACTTGGCATTCTAATGGTCAAAAAATAGCCACTAATTCCTTGGAAAATCTGCGTCAGACAAGCATTGGGTTGTAAAATTAACTCAAAGAACTAAAACTTTACTAGTAGCTCTTTTCCAATTTGAACGTTTATTAGGTAAAAAGCGGGTCTTAATCTCCAGCTAAATTTGGAACATACTTGTGCGGTTGGTAATTGATTTGTGATAATATTATGATCATATTTAACTCCTTTTTGACTTCTAATTACATGCAATTGACCCCTAGCATTCTTGAATTTTTATTATAAGGTCCGACACAACTTTTGAGTATTTACACTCGAGTCCTCAAACTTTGAATCTTGCCCATTTTATTTATTTATTATTATTATTCTTTGCCAATTTTTGTTTCCTTCTTTTAATTCAACTCCAATTCATAAAGTTTTACCTAATAACACATTATATAATAAGTCAGGATATAGTTTCATTAAAAGAACTACGAAACGTCCAAATCCTAATAAGTGTATAAAACACATTTATCAGTGTACTCGTTTAGTTCTATGTGTAAAATTTCTATTGATGCTCGATTGATACAACTTTGAAGGAACTTGATTGAACTACATTATTCTCACCCCTATAACTACATGCAATTATAAAATCCATTTGGTACACATATAACTACATTTGGACATGTGTAAATGGAATTGGATTATGATAATAATGAAACATTACAAGAATACAAAGTGATAAATATTTTAGTCTACTATGCTTCCCCTTTATGCTACATTCTTGGTTTCAAAAAAATGATATCTTCGAAGGGCAGCTTAGATATTGATTCTCTAGTCTCTTTGCAGGCATTGGGTAAACAAGATTGGTGGCTCACAAAATAAATAATTATTTGTAAGTTGCTTTTTTAATCCCACTTGATACAGGAGACGCCCTCTTTGGTTTTGTCACATTGTCTCCCCGTTGAGATTCCAATAAAGGGTTATTGAATAGTTTGAACTCCTTTTACTTTTTCTTGCTTAAGTTTCAATTATTAATTCATTATTCAAATCAAAGAATAATTAACTATTATTGACATAATTCTTCTCACATTAAGCTCCTGTTTGGTTTAGATAAAATTCAAAATTTTAATAAATTTTAATAAATGTTGATCGAATGTATGATTAAAAATTTGTGGAACCAATGAAATATATGATTATTGACTTTGACTTAGATATGAATTTAATTTTTTTAACAAAATCAAATTGGGGCTAAGTTTCCATTTGACAAATTTATAAATGATTTATAAAGAAGAATAATAATGGTTCTTACGAAATGTGTGAACAATAATAAGTAGTAATTATGAATATTTGTTTGAAATTAATGTTTGACTTTGCCTGAACTTATAAAGTATAGACATCTTGAGATTTAGCTTGCATAATAGGTTTTCGTGTTATTGCTTTTAATTTTTTTTTTTAGTTACTGAATATATATAATGTCATTATAGAAAAGAAAAAAAAAATTAAAGATATCTTTTTGTTTTTCGTTTCATCAAGAGAATATGTATTCAACAAAATTTTAAAATTATTAACGAAAAAACTTAGGCTCTTGTTTGGTAGAAATTAAAATTCAGATTTTAATTTTAATCAAAGTCAACAATTAATTTTACTCATATATTTCTTATGACCCATACTTTTCAACCACACATTTCATCAATTTTTATCAAAATCTACTAAAAACCTAATTTTAATTCTACCAAAAAGTGACTAATAATGATTATTATAGTGCCCCTTATTACTCTTATCAGTCAGTCTACAAGTACAGAAAAAATGTACAGAATTGATACAGAAATTTGAAATCAACAACACAGATTTAAAGTTGAAAAAAAAACACACACAAATTCACACGATGCTGCCACAACAGCATCCTGTAATAATTCTGTAATTATTCTCTGTACTCAGGGAATAATTCTGTAATTATTCCCTGTTCTACTCTTATAGGTAGGTTGATGTTACGATGCTGCCACAACAGCATCCTGTAATAATTCTGTAATTATTCCCTGTACTCGGGGAATAATTCTACTCTTATAGGTAGGTTGATGTTATTGAAGCAATGAGTTAAAATATAGAATAATACTATATAACACTATTGGTATTAAAATACCAATCTAAGTAACGTTAATATGATATTAAATGTTAGATATAATTTTACCTTTCATTACGCCTATCATATAGCTCCATCTAGATTGATGTTATAATATTAGTAATGTGAATTAGCATTATTCTAATATTTATTGTCACGATTTCGCTGTGTCATTGTTGGTTTGTCCAATCAAATTTTGACAAGTCAACATAATTTCGAAGTGTCAAGATTGAAGTGGTAACTACCCCAACCCATATCATTTCTGAGGGCATCTTTTTGTCTTGTCATTTGCATTTCCATAAAAGCTCAACTTTGCTGACTTCCTGTCTTACCTAAGCTTCATCAGTTTCGTATCAGCATCAAACACAACACTTATCATCATTTTTGCATCTGCATCAAACACTAGGAGCTCCTGTTCTCTAGAAAATCAGAGAATATGTTCAAGATTGGATTAAGGTTAGTTCAATCAAAGAAATCTTAAAACGTGCTTCTTTCTGTGTTTCTTTATAGACAGATCTCATTTCTGGGTTTTATTCTGGTGTAATATCAGGAGTAACTGCATTTCAAGAGCTTTTCTCACTAAAAGCTCCATCAGGAATTTTTCTGCCCAGATAGGAAGGTCAGTTAAGATCCCTCTACACAACACACCAATATATATACACACAATTCTCAAATGGTTCGATTCTTCCGAATTAAACGGGTAATCCCGTAGTTCTTGATACTTGAAAATGCATATTCCACTCTCTTTCCTCTTTGAAACCTAACTTAAATTTGTGCTGTGCTGTGCTGTGCTAGGGAGATAGCGTGCTCTTATGTGGTTTCGGTTTGAAGTTTTGGTATGAATTTGGCTCATGTATAAACGTTTAAGTCAATTTTATTCATACATGCCAAGAAAATACTACCCATTTATTAATTACATATTTCTATCTATTCATAATTAAAATGTTCAAAAACACTTCACAAACATGCTTCGATATGTAATTAATATGGCCCATACATGAACCTTATTAGCAAAATTTTAGTACAAGATATTCACTAACAATAAATTCAGCAGAAATCCACTAAAGAGCAAGACTTGAAGGTGAAACAATATTAGGTAAAGAATATAACCCACCCTTTTGTCTCTTAATTAACTGGTATACAAACAAGTTCATATACCTACAAATGACATAACAAATTAAATTTTATTTTTAATAAATTGAGCGGAATTTTCTTTCTGGGTAGAAGCATATGTTGCAAACTGTTTCGATTGAAGTCTTGCGTTATTGTGTGAACTGAACTTGGTCTGATTCTATCCAAAGGAATATTTAACAGTGGCTAGAGCTTTGACCACATGATAATGGATGATAGTGAGGGGAATTAGGTAAGATTCGATCAATTAATGGTATCAAATTTGGATGAATAATACATTTTTCGTCGAAGTGGGTGTTTGGTGGGGATTAAAATTAGATTTTTAGTATATTGTGATAGAAATTTTTGAAATGTGTAGTTGAAAAGTTGTGGGACCCATGAAAGATGTCGTTAATATTGATTGTTTGACTTTGACTTAGATAAAAATCTGATTTTAATCCGAAACAAACAGGGCGAAATCTATTATTTCTAAGTTTTTCACTTAAATTGCAAGTTGGTAATGCAAATTTTCCCTCGAATTTTTATTTTTTTTAATTGTATCTAATGACCAAAAAACAGTCTAGGTAAAAGAAATGGTATATTATCAAACAGTTTACACGCAGTTAGCACGTTTGGTTGAACTTAAAAGCTGCTAAAATGCTGCTGCTGAGAGAAAGATGGCTTTTAACCTCGGCCAAACATACTTTGGAAAGCTAAGTGTAAATTTGGTGGTTCTTTCGTTTATGCAGCAAACTAGATGGCAAGATAGCATTAATCACAGGCGCAGCAAGTGGCATTGGCAAAGAGGCTGCAAAAAAATTCATAAACAATGGCGCAAAAGTAGTGATTGCTGATATTCAGGCACAACTGGGTCAAGAAACAGCCACAGAACTTGGAACCCATGCCAGCTTCATTTCATGTGATGTGTCAAAAGAATCAGACATTGCACATGCAGTGGATTATGCCGTCTCGCAATTCGGCCAACTCGATATCATGTTTAATAATGCAGGAATCGCATGTCACACTCCGCCAACCATAGTTGACCTTGATCTTGCTGCATTCGACCGAGTCATGGCCATCAATGTTCGAGGAGTGGTGGCCGGGATCAAGCACGCATCCCGAGTTATGATTCCCCAGGGACGGGGTTCGATTTTGTGCACATCGAGTATCACTGGAGTTATGGGAGGGTTGGCACAACACACATACTCGATATCCAAGTCCACGGTTATAGGAGTAATGAAATCTGCAGCAGCAGAGTTGTGTAGGCATGGTATCAGAATCAACTGTATATCGCCATTTGCCATTCCGACTTCGTTTGTGATTGATGAAATGAGGGTATACTTTCCCGGGGTCAACGATCGGGGTCTGGCGAAAATGATACATGATAATGGTGTGTTGAAGGGAGCCATTTGTGAGCCAGAAGATATAGCTAATGCTGCTCTTTATCTAGCATCTGACGATGCCAAATATGTTAGTGGGCATAATCTTGTAGTAGATGGTGGTTTTACTTCAATTAAGAATTTGCATTTTCCCGTACCATACGAGTTCAAAAGTGAAAAATGAGGAAGAATGTTATAAGATACACAACCAGGATTATATTTATCGCATATTTGATACGTTAAACTTGAATAGACTAAATTTCGTTTCATTACTTTCTTTTTTAATTATGTCCACTTGTAACAATGCGTTCACCGGGGATGGTGGCCAGGATCAAGCACATGCCCCGAGTTATGATACCCAGAGATGTACGTTTAATATTGTGCACGTCAAGTGTCATGAGATTAATATGATGCTCGTTAATCTTCACCCAACTTTCACGCATTTAATTTTTTGAAGCTTAGATTTTATTGCTTTAACTTGAGCTGATGTGTAGAAATATGATTTAAGCATATTTTTATTAGGACCATGTAACAATTTAATGAAGTTTTTGTTTGCTTCTATCGTTGGTCCGATTGTTCAAATATAATGCGAAGTCAAGAACCAATTTGCTTAATTTTAAAGGTTGAAAATCAACTTGTTGCTCGGCAATAAATTAGAGACCAATCATGCACATTCTTAAGAAGAAAATGCATTTTAAATAGTAATGTGATGAAAAATATGTGGTTAAAAAAAAAGAAAAAATTTTTGAATTTGCGTGTAATATTATTTTATTGAAGATTCTGCGATTATTGAAAATGAGTATTGAAAAAATGTGCATCAAACAGTGCAATTGTGCAATTTCTCCCAACTACAAAAGTTATGCATTACTAATGATTTGGGTTAAATAGCACTGCAGGTCCCAAACCTTTAAATTTTATGACGATGGATCCCAAACATTTGATTTCTAGCACCCAGAGTCCCAAACTTTTAAAAAGCACGTGAGCATGATGATCCTTTTGTTATGAAAATTGTTAGTTTAACGATCAAACCAATGGTTAATGTAATGATCAAACCAAGCTTTTTAATCTAAATCTAAATTATTAATTAATTTAACACGTATTTTATTGGATTCACAAATTATTAACACATTTTTTAAACTTTTATCAAAATCTATTAAAAAATATGAATTTAATCCTTACAAAACAGGGGCTAAATTTTTTCGTAATAGAAGGACAATATTCGCATGCTTCTCAAGGGTTAGGTTAGGGATTAAGGTTTTAAAAATCAAAGGTTTGGGATCCCAACAGTATAACGTTTAAAGGTTTCGGGACCTACATTGCTATTTACCCAATAATTTTTGTCACTTCAATTTAAAAGTAGTGTAACTATCTACAAAAATAAAGCTAAAATTTCAATCAAGAATTAAACTTTTTTAAATAAAATTTTACTAAAATACAGTTCATACTTCATACCCAAAATAGATGGGCAAAATAGGTATTTTGTGAGTGGAAAACGAAACAAAGAACTTCCAAGTTTCTTTGTTAAAAAATTGAACACCCCAAACTCTGCTGAATTTCCATTTTTTCTCTGTTAATGGCAATAGCGGCTACAAATTGTTATTTCTCAGTGCTCACTTCTTCTACTGTCTCCACTTCCCGCTGTTCTTTAACCTCCCAATGCCTTTTCTCCACATTGCGAAGTCCTACTTATTTTCTTACCTCCGTTGTTAAATCATCCAAGGACCGAAATCAGAATCCCAAACAAAAATTGCCCAGGAAAAAGCCCGGTAAATTCATCGCTGTAATTTTTTTTTTTTGATTTCTTTTATACTTTGTTGTCATGAATTATATTCTCCCTGTTGATTCTTGAATGCAATTGTTCACACAGTGGTTGAATGTTTTATATTAGAAAGAGGGTGAATGGTATGGAAAATAAAGTATCCATTGTATAGAGACAACGAATAATATCAACACACGACATAGAGAGCAATTAAAATATATGACAACGTAAAAAGAACTCAAAAGTTCAAAATTTTACTAAAATCACACCTTTTTTTTGTGCTTTTCCCCTCATTGAAGCTATACGCTTCAACAACAACACACAAAAAAGCTTACAGGATATGTGTTTTGCACTTCAGTACATCTTTACAATGATTAGTCTAGTGTTTTCGCAATCTGTACAGATTTAATTTAATAGCTACTATAAACCTGTGGAACCCTTTGTATTTTTGTTAAATTCAGAGTGAAGCCATTAGACAGAAATTTCCAGGGATATCAAGAGATGAAAGCCATTTATCAAATGCAGATGGTCAGTGTAGTAGGAAAAAAGCAGGGAGGTCTCGATCAACTTCGTTTAGATCATCTGGCATGCAGAGGAAAGGGAACAAGGAAGTTCTGTTTGACTCGAAAGACCAACAGGTATATAGGACATTCATACTGTATTACTATTTCCTTCTCTTGGTATCCTTTCGTGCAATAGCTATGAGTGCCATTATTTTTGGTCAAGTTCAGTAGTTCAACAATTTAAGTACAATCCTTAGGCATTGTATTTATTAGAGTACTTATGTGTTCCAGGTAGACACTGGTAATCTTCAAGATGCTGCATTTCTTAACGCTGTTGTCAAGGTATATGTTCAACTCTTCTTGATATTTTAGTTATCTTACTGAAGAATTTTTGGTTGTCAAGGTATATTTTCAACACTTCTTGATATTTTAATTATCTTACCAAAGAATTTTTGGATTGTACTTTGCTACCCTCTTCATAGAGCTGGATGCCATTTCCTTTCTTTTTATATTATCTTTTGCAGCATGGTCCATCCCTCTTTGCATCCTATATTTTACTTGGCACTTGCTATTGAGCTTTTGGCTAGCTAGTATCTTCCTACTTTATTTTCCTCACTGAATATCACGAGAATTAGCGGAATATGTGATCCATCCTATTGTATATTTTAAACTTTAGCATCTTAAGAGAGCCAATATTTTGCGGCACTTGCAATCACGATGCCCTTCTAAACTGGTATAGTGTTAGAGGGGGTAGCTCGGTTTATACCTAAAATTTTCATCTAGGTCAATTATTAAGTTATTTTATGTGCCATATCAATTGATCAGTGACTCCAAAGTGCTGTCAGAAATATTAAATACCACTAAAGTGACGTGATTTTTTGTGAAATTGCCATTACCCATATATTTGACACTTGAAGCAGCACATGAAGTTGTTTGCTGGTGTCAATAAATACCCGTGTAGTCATTGAAAATATTCTCAACAACCATGTAGCCCATTATTATCAAATATTCATACTTCTGTATGTACTCTAAGTTCATGAATTATTTCCTCCTCAATGCTCTCTCTTTTAAATATTTCAAAATGACTTGATGATATTGCCATTTGCTATTATTTTTGTGACAGAGTATGCTGTCGACTCTTACCTTGTCTCTTTACTTCCTTTAGGTTTACTGTACCCACACTGCACCGGATTACTCTCTTCCTTGGCAGAAACAAAGGCAGTATCAAAGTACTGGAAGGTATGTTTGATGACCTTTCTCCAACTGCTTTCCCCAGAAAATGTGAATTTCCTGGAAATCAAATCTGAAATTTTTTTAGAAAATATCTTCTAGTTCAATGCTCGTGGTATTATTCATTGTGATGCAATTTTCACAAATACTTTGTTTTCACATAATAAATTTTGCATGCACCGTTCAGTGCTTTTATGATTGGGGACGGGAAGCTTTTGACAAATGCACACTGTGTTGAACATGATACACAGGTATGTTTTGAAGTTTTTACTTTTTAATGCCATTTGAGTTTTCCTACACATGTAAACGTTGCATGACATAGGAGGCTTGATGATTTGACATGAGTCAAATGGCTGATTTAAGCATCAATCTTCTATCTGTTAACGTGGGTTTAGATATGATACGTTTAATGTTTTTGTCATGATTGGAATCTGGCTGATTATTCTTTCTTCAATTACTTGGATTTTCTGCATGCTTAATTTGAGGATGTTCGAGATTGATGGAAATTTGGGTGATGTATCAGGTGGATTTTACTTAGAACCAGAAAATTATGACACATAAGCTAGTTTTGTGTTGCCAGAGTTTGATGGGAAATTGGGTGGTAAAATCACTTGGATGTTACTTAGAACCAGATAATTATGACTATGCTATTTTCGTGTGCCAATAAAGTGGAGCACATTTTTTGAGGTAGAACTTTACATTAGAGTTGTTCTAATTGATCCTTGACTGAGCACTTGAAATGGGAGTGACACATGGATTGGATATGGTATATTTTCAATTCTGAACCCGATCCATAGGAAAGAACTTTAGTATTTGGGATAAGGATTACCTACCTTATTTATTGACAGTTTTTGGTTGAGTGAATATATCACTTTCATTGATTTATCTCCATTATACCGTGAGCAGTTGATCTTAAAATCTTAAGCTGTTAGAGTGCTACATATATATCATTTAAATCTTATCTTCAACATGCTCCTTTACGTGTAGACACGAATTATTTTTTCATTAAAGCCTTTTACATATGTACAATTTATAATAAATAAGTGGAAGCAAGAGTGAGAGAACTATTGAGAGATGATAAAAAAAAGAATTTATTGAATCATCTTACGATGGAAAGGGAATCTTTAATCAAACAACACATTTTCCTTTATGTTTAGTCGTATTTTTTGGTTGAAAGTGTTGAACCAATTGATCTAAAAGTTTAACCCGTTAGATAAGGACATTGTTACTCAAAATAATTTGTTAATCATGGTGCAAAGATACATAGATCGGAATTTTTTTTTTCCATTAAAGCCTTACACATGCAGAATTTTTTTAATAAATGGGTGGCGGTGAGACTTGAATCTAGAACCAACCGATCTAAAAGTTTAAGTTGTTAGATAAGGTCAAATGTATATCATTTAAATATTTCAACATGAAGAATGAGATGTTTTCTTGATTTTATTTTAACTTTGTTTTTCTTATGTTTTAAGAGGAAACCTTGTTCTCTTGATCGATGTATCTTTACATCACAATTAATGTAATTATGTTTCTTATAAAAATTTCCTATAGGCCATCTCTTCAACTTCTTGCATTGGCTGCTGAATCTGGTGCCATCTCTTAAAAAATATAAATCTAAGTATCTACGTTTCTATCCATGCATACTCGCGTTTCGTAAGTCTTTGTCCTTGGTTGTGAACGTTCTGAACTCAA